GGATCGGAGGCCTATTGCATATTTCAGCGAGAGATTGAGTGGAGCTGCTTTAAATTATCCTACATATGACAAAAAACTTTATGCACTTGTTCGAGATTTGGAGACTTGGCAACATTATCTATGGCCGAAGGAGTTCGTAATATATACCGATCATGAGTCACTAAAGCACTTGCAGGGACAAGGTAAACTGAACAAAAGGCATGCATGGTGGATGGAATTCATTGAGACCTTTCCATACGTGATACGGTATAAACAAGGTAAGGAAAATGTGGTGGCGGATGCGTTATCACGAAGGTACGTATTGCTAACTACTCTTGATTCTAAGCTACTTGGATTTGAACATATTAAGGAATTGTATGAAAAAGACGTTGAATTTTCGGATATTTATTTGTCATACATAAAAGGGACGATTGATAGGTTCTTTAGGCATGAGGGGTATTTATTTCGAGAAAGTAGGTTATGTGTTCCTAATTGTTCTATTCGGGAGTTGTTAGTAAGGGAGGCACATAGTGGTGGATTGATGGGACACTTTGGGGTTGAAAAGACTTTAGATGTATTGAAGGAGCATTTTTACTGGCCTAAGATGAAAAGTGATGTCGAGCGAATTCGTAGTCGATGCATAGGTTGTAAAAAGGCTAAGTCTAAGGTTTTACCTCAAGGTTTGTACACACATTTACCTACACTTAGTGAGCATTGGGTTGATATCTCGATGGACTTTGTTTTGGGTTTACCTAGGACTAAGAGAGGTCGGGATTCTATTTTTGTGATTGTAGATAGGTTCAACAAAATGATACATTTTATATCATGTCACAAAACTGACGATCCCATGAACATTGCTGACTTATTCTTTAAAGAGATTGTGTATTTACATGGGGTTCCTAAAAGTATAGTGTCGGATCAGGATGTCAAATTTTTAAGTCACTTTTGGAGAGTTTTGTGTGGTAAGTTAGGCACTAAGTTACTATTTTCCACAACTTGTCACCCACAAACGGATGGGCAAATTGAGGTAGTGAATAGGACTATGACACAATTGTTACGCAAAGTAATCAATAAAATTTTGAAGAGTTGGGAGGAGTGTCTACCATTTGTTGAATTTGCATATAATCAAGTTGTTCACTCTACTACATCATATTCTCCATTTGAAATTGTATATGATTTTAATCCACTAACTCTTTTGGATTTAATTTCTTTACCTGTAAATGAACGTGGTAGTTTAGATGGCAAAAAGAAGGCGAAATTGGTTAAATCACTCCATGAAAAGGTAAAAGCGCAAATTAAAAACAAAAGTAAGTTGGTTGCGTCACAGGCGAACAAAGGTAGGAAGCGCGTGACATTCGAGTCAGGAGATTGGGTTTGGGTGCACTTTAGGAAGGAGTAGTTTCCGGAGCAAAGGAAGGTCAAGTTGCAACCGAGGGGCGATAGTCCATTTCAAGTGATTAAAAAGATAAACGACAATACTTACAAGTTGGACCTTTCAGGTGAGTACAATATTTCGGCTACTTTTAATGTATCTGATCTCTCTCTGTTTGATGCAGGTTCAGATTCGAGGACGAATCCTTTTGAAGAGGGAGGAGATGATATGATCCAGGAGTAGAGCCCGACGAAAGCAAGTGCGAGACGAGACCCGTTGATAGTCGATGGCGGACCAATGACGCGATCAAGGGCAAAGCAAGTGAAATAAGCGATGTGATTGCTCATTCAAGAAACCATTGGTGGAACCATGTTCGGGACTCAAAATAGAGCAACTTTCATGTTCGGATCGAAGGCCGAGTCAACTTGGATCAATTTAATATCGAAAGCCGAAGACGGAGGAAAATGATAAGCCTATGCCTATGCGGTCGCATAGGTTTGAGAGGCTTGCGGTCGCATAGGTGTTTACCGAAACTCAAAGGAGCGAATCGAACTGAACCATGCAACCGCATGAAAATACACTATGCGATCGCATAGACAATTTTTTTGGCGAAATTCCTAATTTTGGCAATTTTCCATATTTTGTTAGTTTTTGATTCTTTTCCATATTTTAGGGATTATGATCGACTTTTGCACGATTTTTACCTAGTTTTTAGGTTTAGTATAAATAGGAGTTTCCATTTAATTGTTAAAAACTTTTGACATTATTGATATTGAATTAAAGTGAGGTGTATTATCTTCTCTTCCTCGTTCTTCATTGAACAATTTCGAACTTATCAAGTGTTAACTTGTGACGTTCAAACAACCGGATTTAATTCTTGAATTGCGTGATCAAAGGGTCTTTCAAGTGTCGTCATTCTTGTTGGATTTTTTGGTTCGACTTTTTTTGGGTTAATTCTAAACTCTTGGATTAATTTGACTTTTTTGGGTTCGTCAATCTCGTTGTGGGTTTCGTAGTCAACATTGCTACGGGATTCGCATCACATCATCCCTCCATACCAAATTTAATTTAATCTCTTCCCATTGATGCCATTTCACCAAAATAACTCTCTCCTCGTAGATATTTGAAATTGCCGGATGATTTCTTACAAGTATCTTTGGACCTTTGCATTGAGTACTTAGCATTTTTTTGCTTCCCGTTTTCTTTGGGAGAAGCTAAAAACTTCTTGCAAAATAAAGGTTGATTCCCCAATCGTGTTCAACAAAGATAGGTGAGATGGTTGATTAGACTCAAGCAGGCAAATTAGACTTCAGTTTGAAAAAGATAAATTTGATACTCGAAACAAATTTAACACTCGTCTTATACCTCTCAAAATTTTATTATTTAGGGAAATTTGCAGATGCAGTCCTCAAACTTTAAAACTTGAAGCACATTAGTCCCCACTCAATTTAAATATTTTTTTCCCTCAAAACCCAAAACGTTCAATTCAAATGCATGTTGGACCCTACTCAATGAAAATCATCAAATGTTAACCTGATCTTCCCCTGTTCACTTATAAGATGGATACTTTCATCACCTTATTGGATTCGTAAGAAAACTGAGAGTAAAAGGACAAAATACAAGAGCTTCATCAATTTTGGAGTCAACAGTTTCACAAGCTACTGTAGAATATATTTGAGCTGCGCTAACATGGCTGCTTTCATAAGAGAATTGGTGAGAACTAAATTCTACATTCTCATGTGATTTTGACAAATTAACTTCATCTTCCTTTTTGGCCTTATTTAGATTCGTATTACCACTAGTTTCTTCAAGATACTTTGCTCTAATTCTAACACGCTTACCTTTAAAGTGTTGGTATTCTCATTCTGGTGGTGGATATTTCTTCTTTAGTTTCTAGCATTTGTCTAGCAAAAATATTTAATGAGGATAAATATTTGTAGATGAATTTAGAGTGATAGATTTCATTAAAATGGATAGATGTATAAAAAAGGAGAATGAAAATAGCGACTCCCAAGAAAAATAAGATTTTTTAGATAAGTTTATGAAATAATGACATTTGACATTTTTTAAATGTGGAAATCATGTGTAACTTTTTAATGAAGCAATAGGGTAAATTGCACCTAGGGTCCCGTACCTTTGAAGATAGTATCAATAGGTCATGCAACTATGATTTCGACCAACCAATGTCTCAAACTTTACAAATGTATGTGCCATGGGTCCTTTGGGAAGGAAATCATCAATTTAATCGTTAAAAGTTATGTCTTGAATAAAATAATCAGTTTACCCTTAGTGTTTGTTTGATAAAGTTTTGATAAAATTTTATAGACTTCTCAAACGGCATTTTATCTAATGATTTCCTTTACAAAAGGACCTCGGTTGCAGATTTTTGTAAGTTTTTGAACTAAAGTTAATAGAAATCAAAGATTCAAGAGCCGAAATTTATCCTTATTTGTTTTAAATCAAACTAAAAGTAAAATGGTCATTTTACTTAGAACTTTATCATTTAACATCAAATCGATGATTTTCGTTGCAACAGGACCTCAAGCTTAGAAGTTTATAAGGTTTGGAATTCCAGGTGCTAGTAATCAAATGTTCGAGACTTCATTGTTACAATCTTCAAAGATTTGGATCCCAAATGCAATTTATCCAAAAAAGTAATAGAACGTAGAGTTACGCTATTTTAGCATCACTGATGTTAAAATATCAATCTAAATGACACCTAAGTAACATCAAATGATAAACACAATTAAATGAATCATATAATTTCATATTTAATTTAATATATCACATTATGACCCTTAAATTGGTGTTTCAATACCAATATTGCTAATAGCATTATTCTAAAATGTAACTCTCTGTCATCTATAGCATTTATTTACCATGTCAGTTTGGTTTTCCCTTCTATGTGGAAGACGGCCTAACTATTACCAATAAAAGCTATTAAGCTACCTTGGTGATATAAAAAGTTACAAAACGTTCGATCAGTGACTTGAGTACTTTTATCCATTTGAAGTATTAAGGTTGTGGCCAAAACCCCAAAGTAGAAAGTACATAGAAATATGCATGTCCGCTAGCATAGTTTTTACCAAAATGTGATATCTCATTTATTCATGTTCTCATCGAGCAAATTTTTGGAGAGTAAGTTCATAACATTATACGCTTCAAATGATTGGGCAACGAGTTCTTTAATCTTAACAGTTATCACGTGTTATATCTAAGCACAGACCCAAGATTATGGTTCAATAAGAGCGAAATACAATTATGTAAATAATTATTTCATATAAATTGGGGGGAAAACAACCAACTGAAAATTTGGATTTAACAAGCAGCATTTGAAAATCGAGTGGAGGTGACCGCACTCACTCGTCCCTTCATATTCCCGCCCCTGGTTAAATAAACTCCGACTTGAAATCGCAATTTTTACCTTAAAAATAAAAACCTTCGGACCCAAGTTCTTCTTACTTGTATGTTTGATCACCACAATAATATGAAAGAAATACTTAGCTTTTCTGTTTTTCTCTAACACAAATTATGAACTAAAGAGATTTTTCAGAAAGTGTAGAAAATCTAAACTGTACTTATTTAAATAAATAAAAAATTTATTATTATTGAAATATCAAAGTAGCATGAAACTGATTATACAAAAAAATAAGGAAAATATTTTACATCTTTAACATCTCTCATTAGAACTCATCTGTAATTTCAATAGAAACTACTGATAAAAAAATAATAATAATAAAATATTAAAAAAAAATATATGCCTTCAATAAATAATACCTTACAAGCAAAAATGGAAGGAAAATAAGAATTTACAGCACGTTGACAAACTAACCATTTCATGTACAAGCTCAATCACTGTCACAATGAAGAATCAATAGAAAACGACCCCAGGAGATCCGTCATGTCTTGGATGCTCTCTTATCTCTGTCCTCTGAAGATTGTCAAGAGTGTTCTGACTTGCATTTTTCACAAGTTGACATTCCTAAGGCTGCTGAAAAAATGCATTGTACAGTAAGTAAAATATCCAGTGCCATAATACATACATTCCAAAGAGTAGTTAAGTAATAGTGATACACAAAAGCCAACTAAGACTTGCCTTCAATTTCTGGATTTGATTCTAAATGATCATCTGCTACACTCGGTAATCAGCAACTAGAAAATACAATGAACAACATTTTAGCTTATTCTTTCTTTCTTCATACTATTTAATGCTATCTAATCCACCTTACAAAAATGCCATAATTTTTTTTTTATCTGTTGTCATATCGCATAGCAACTACAAGAGAAGTGAATATTTGCACATCGATACAGAAAAAGATCGTCACACGAAATTTGTAAACTTGAAACGCATTACCATGTAGGTACAGTACTCACCTATCCTGATCTACACCGACTCAAATCACTACCAATTTCCATCTAGTTCAATGTCCTCTTCTGCAATTTCTGCATCAGTGAAAATGAGTGCCCGTTGCAACTTCTTTGGGGAAAATACTTCAACTTCCACCATATAAGAGGCAGTCACAGGTCGATGATCAGATAGCCTAAGTTCACTTCTCCTATAGCTTAGTAGCTTCATTCCCTTCCCAAAAGAAAGAATGCGATCACACCTGGATGGCAAGTAGAAATGCAAGTTTAAGGTATGACTATGATGAACACACCAATTCGGTAAATTAAGGAAGTTACAAGACACTTCACAAAAATTACATGAATAAAAAGAGATGGATTTCCACATAGAAGGTAAGAGACACAAAACATGTATCTTCTTCACGTGATGAGTACAACTGTTATCCAGTACATATAAATGCTCATCTAGAGATGTCAACGGCCGCCCGTGGCTCAGCTCGAAAAAGCCCGAGCCGGCTTGGCTCGAGGCTCGAAGGCACCGAGCCCCATTTTGGAAAGCCGGCTCGAGCCCGGGCTGGCTCATTTAAATTGAAAAAAATAATAACAACAAAATAAAATAAAAAGAGAAGAAAAATCAAGTTGCCTGTTGAGTTAGCTTACTGCCTTAACCGGCAGCAGATTTGCTGCCTCAACAAGCAGCAACAAGATATGGAAAAAAAGAATTTAAAAAAAAAATAAAAAAAACCAACTGGCTCTGCTCGATAAGGCCTAAGCCAAAAGCTCAGATCCAACCTTAATTTTTTGGCCGAGCTTTTGCTTAGCTAGGCTCGGGCCAAAAAAAGTTCGAACCGAGCCCGAGCTAGCTCAACTTGCTAACACCCCAACTCATCTATATATTAGTCAAACCTGCATGCTGCTATTAGCAGATAACAGTAAATAATAAAAAAATTACCTAAGATTTGTTTATCTAACCAGTCTTCCGAAGTATTCTTGCATATACAAAATATTTACACGGGTCATGCACGTGAATATTAATATGGAAAAAGAAACACACACATATAAACATATTACAGATAATCTTGAGAACTATTCTATTCTTCTAAAATCCATGCCCATATACAGCTCCTGTGTCTTCAAAATATTCATGGTAACTTTTAAGAATTACTCTTTTCTTCTAAAGTCCATGCCAGCATAAACGTCTCAAAAAAATATTGGTTTCTTTATTTACTGAAAAAAAATACTATTCTCTTGAGGAAGACAAATTTCAGTCTCCAAATGTAGACGTACACACACACACACACACACATAAAAAAGGCAAATTCTTTTTTTTCTTCTTTTTTTTTTTTAAGGCAAAGTTTTAAAGAATAATAGAGATTAATATTCTGTATAGGGAAAGTAATTTCTAAAACATCCAAACTAGTTCATGCCATGTCAGTCTACCTACCCCAAGTATCTTTTAAAATATTACATTGATAAGATATAGCTGTTCAAAGACCCCAAAACATAAATAAGTGAAGCAAAATTAAGAGGAAATGTAGATTTAGTAAGAGGCACGACAAAATCAGAACAAAATCCGAGAAACAAGCAAATAAGCAATGCTACTACAATTAGTTCTATCAGGCTCAAGATTAGTCGACAAAATATAAAAAGAATAAAGACAAAAAAGGAAACAAACAATTCTTTGTGGATGTATTTTAAGAGAATAGTGTTTGCATCTTAAAAAACAACAAGAGATATATTTTAGTGGAAGTGTCAAGACCCTCAATAAGCAAAAATTCTACATACATACCATGCTGGAGTGCGCCTCCCAGCCCTAGAATCCTCTCCACAGTAAGTGTCTGAATTTGTCTGATATTTGTAAGTTGGAGCAAAGTTCAAAGTACCTTCAGACCATCCATCAAATGCCCGACCTTTCCTAAACTCTCTGATGAGCTGCCAAAAGAGAAAGGTGTCAACATTGATTTGAAAATATGAAAAATGACATGAACCAGGTTTTTCATTATACAAATACTAATTAAATCAAAATATAAGCCAAAATTACATTACAGTTCAACGCCTTTTGGCTTATTAATGTTATTCCCTGATTTTGTTGTATTCCTCTAAAAAATATTTATTCGCACATAAATGCATGAGTTGCCTCATCTGGTTCTAGAAAATTAATTGACTGGCAGTTCCCAAAAAAAAAATAAATAAATAAATAAAATACATAGCACATAGCAAGACTTAACTTTTGATATTCAATCTACCTTAGGATAGTAATAAGCTAAAAATAAATAAAAAATCACCTGATCATGCTCAACTAACTTAGCCCAGTCCTCCTTCAAAATTAGCTCTTTTGTTTCCTCATATGACAAATTAATACGATAATTTAGGTCTCCCAGCCAGATTATCCTTCTGCGATCAGATAAGAAAGTCACAGAAAATCACGTAACAAAATGAAGGTTTATTCACATAAAAGTGAGTTGAAGTAGAGCTATAAATATGAAAATTGGAGTTGAATCTTCAATTATCAGCACTGAGAATTTAAAATCATAACTCTATAAAATTTCCTTAACACCTTCATTACAAGTCTACTGTTGAGATCCACTACCACAAGGTTAATTATAACACAAACAAATTTAGGTGAAAATAGAAGGAATCTAATTCAAATCCCATATTCGAAATGAAGCTTCCATTTTAGTGGAAACCTGGAACAAAGACATTGCCGAGCATAAAATATGAGCTTTCTTCAAGCAGAAAATTTCAATACATCGGTCAGAGCAAACAGCCTTCATCAATTTATTAGAATTTGAAAAATTAAACAACATTTTAGAAGACCCTCCAATCTAGAATCAACTAAAGCATGGAATCAGAGAACCAATGATCAGGTAATGGTCAACAATCATCCAAGAAATTCAACTCTTCAAATTTTTTATTCTATTTGACATTCGTGACAGATTATTTATAAAACTTATCTCATTTCCCTCCATTAATTGCTGCCTTTAGTATGTAGCATTTAGCAACTCATCTCCCCCACTTTGCTAATTTTTGCAAAATACAAGTATCTAAGTTTCTCCTCAAATGCCTCGTCTAAATGGGTAGAACTCCGTATGCTTACTCATGGTCACGGATGCTTTGAGGAAGCCCAATACTAGAAAGCGAATTAAAGCACGTCCGTCTATGTATTTCTTGGACATCAGTGATTCTCTTGGCTACATCAACATCCTTCTCACCTGACGTGAGATGAGTACAAATGAAACAGAAGAGCGTCTGATATATAGACATGCTAACAGATATTGATCCCTGAAAGCATAAATGACGGTTATGATATTTGAAAAAGCACAAAGCATTGATCATTTTCTTGATACAATGAGAGCTTAAAGTGCCAAAAGAAGTTCCTAAAGCAGATTATAGAACTATCTGACATCTAGTTTGAACAAGGCCTGGACTGCCAGGATTAGCTTCTTAGGACATTCAACTTTTGGATATTCATAAAGTAAAAAAAAAAAAAGATTCAAGAATGTTGGTGTAGAGAGATTGCTAGCTCATTTTACACCAAAAATAGTAGCAAACACAGCTGCTTTTGTTCTCTGATGTTATCTCATCAAAGCATAATATAGGGAAAGCTTAGCTAAGCTAAATTGGGGATGTCAGCTCTGTCTACTTAGAATTCTATTAAGCAGAGCAAAAATATCGTGGTTCTAAAATGAAAAAAATACTCATCATCATTCACAGTATAGCAAAAAACTAAGAAGGCCTTCATGAGTTTTACAGGGTGACAAGGAAATCCTAAAAGTAGAAATTATGTTGATCAGTCGTCAGATGTGTGTTCAATACATAACTAGAAACTAAGACTCCAATTTATTAATACAAGAACCCCATATACTGGCAGCATTGAAGGTTTCAGGAAAAGCTTCAAGACCTATAGTGCTGATCTAAAAATTAACTTTTCAAGGATGGACACCTTCACAAACAGTAACCTTAAGTCTTGTAGACCTTGATACTTCTCATCCTCTTTTATATTTCTTTCTCCCTAGATTGCTTATCCGGCCAGCTCAAAAAATTCCTGAAAATTAACTTTTAAGATGGATACCTTCATCAACAGTCACCTTAAAGATTGACACTTTTCATCCTTTTTTATACTTCCCTCTCCCTAGATCATTTGTTCAGCCAGCTCAAACAATTGAATGATAAGGGAAGAACAATAAAACATGAATAAGACTATACAAGCCATCGTACTGGGAATCCTGGTTGCCGAAGAAAGTTTGATTAGGATTTTCAGCTTTTCGTTTATTATCATCCTAAATTCAAATGTAGATTCTTGAGTCAGAAATACAATATTCTCATCCTAGATACGTGTATGTTTATATTTGAATAATCTTCAGAGCACAAATGTGAAGTATAGTTGGCAGTTCGTATACGAAAATATATCCTTGTACTGCCATAAGAAAATAACTATCTGAAGTATATGACAGCACAGAGGGTAGTTAATAGTAGTAGATAACAAGATAGATTCCCAATCTATATTCTATAACATTGAAAAGTAAAAAGTAATAAGAACATCCAGAAGTACTATTATAATTCCAAACTACGATTTAAAAAAGGAACTAACCTTGTTCCCTATATAGCCCATAGCACCAACACCGACAGAAGACACAAGGAACTAACCTTGTTCCCTATATAGCCCATAGCACCAACACCGACAGAAGACACATTTAAGTTCTTTATGTGTCTTCGCATGCTTCTACGAACCCAGATGGTAAGGAAAATTCCAACCATTTGCTTGCTTACTATTTTAACGTAAGGGGACCTTTTTTTCCGGTTTATCAGCCTTTCAAGGTCAAGCTCGGCAAGTGATGCTATATCTGGTCTCATTCTATTTTCACCAGCCATGTTTGACTTGAAAGAACTATATGTCCTGAAAGATTTGGAGGCTTTGAAGGATTTGAAGGAATTAGTTTTCCCTAAAACATGCTGACCCAAAAGATGTAGAGGTGGCTCTGGCCAGCTTAAACCAATCCGTTCTGTCCCACTTAGCGTTCTGGCTAACTTATTGATGTACTGGGTGCTTGGTATCGCTACATTTTCTTCAGAATCCTCTGCCCTGAAGCAGTTCAATCTGTCCAGGGTGACTGGAGAAGAAAATTGGCTTTGCAACTCCTTTTCAACTGAAACTCCCAAGTTGTGTTTGTCAATGGAAACAGGGGCATTGAGATCAACAACATTATCTCCTGTGACTGTTCCATCCTTGATTTCATCAACAAAATTCGATTCTTCATTTAGTGGGCAGATTTCTTCCTCAATGTCACTGTCAGTCTGTAAGATTTCATCTATGTTTGGGGCATCTTCAGATGGCTTAAACCTTGATGGAGAAGGAGGGTCACTATAGCATCTGAATTTAGTGACTTGCGGAATTTTGTTCAGAGTTTCACGAATTCTGTTTTCCCATATTGAAACAGGGCGCCGGTCTTCAGCGCCAAATATATTACCAGCACTTAATGGTATAATCTCCTGTAGACTGTGTATATAATGCATGCATCAAAAGAAAGCACCAACAATTTTGTAGCCCTATAATAAATATTTAGTGGAAACTTGGCTATTTAAAAGAGGATTTTTTACAAGAAATGTGTAGGGAATTCAACATATCAAGACCAATAATTTTACTTCATTTAATACAGGCTCATGACTTGACTTGACTTTGATCGTTAAGGCTGATTCCAAGATTGATTCCTATGCAAGTTAACCTAATTCTAGTAGGAGGCCTTGATAGAAATGGATAGGCAGTATAATTAACTGTTGGAAACTGATGTAAGTGAAACAAATGAACTTAGAGACTGTTCTACTGTAGATGACAAACAAGAAGCGTTCAAAAGAAAGAAAAAGTGACATACTTACCCAATTACATATATGTCAGCGGGGTCATCAACATCTAACCAGCCATCTAGATCCAGGTCGTCTGGAGGAACTCTTCCTCCAACATTCCATGTGCCCGCACATATTCTAGCAAAAGACCAAGACATAATAGAAAGAATAAAGCTAATCCACTAACTCAACCTAAATTTAATGATGCTTGCATTTGTAAATTAGCTTTACCATTATCTCATCAAAATGCAAGGAAATTCTACCTGATTTCCTTTGTGTTTATATACTGAGACCTAAATGTCTCCGACTTTCTTCTTATCCTGGGAAGAACCTCTGGAATACAAAAGTGCATAGGTAATACTCACATTTAGGAATTAAAGGATCTTGAAAGTTTGATTTTGGAGGAAAGGTTAATACACACTATAAGCCTAGAAGAAAACAGCCAAAGGAGCATGAACTTTCTCATTGAGCACTTGGCACCGTCTATTGCATTGATTCAATTAACTCTAAAGTATCAATAGAAATTAAATTTTGTATTTTAAAATGTGTATCCACGTTGCCAAAAGATTTTAAGCTCTAAATCCCCTAGCGAGCAATTCAAAAGGTTCGAACCTTTAAAATTTCTCACTTAGATAGACAAAACATAATCCTTTCGACAAAGAAGACACAAAACCTTTAGTTATTTATTTATTTAAAATGGACAACGTTAATTATCCATTTCAAATGCACGATAATATAATGTTAAAAATTCACACAGCCCGAAAAGGTAGGAATATTTAGTTGGTTGTTCTCAAAATGTTTTCAATTTTCATTTTGGTAAAACACTCATAACTTATTTGGTTTGGTAGTTTTGAAAATGCATTTTTGAAAACGAGATTGAATTTATAACACAAAATTCAAAACATACTTTTGACTAAAGACTGAAAACACTCTAAACATGAGAAGTAAAAGTAATCCAATTCCTCCTTCCAATGGAAAATCAAGCACTTAAAATGTATATATAGTTTAATACTATAACAGCATAATTTATTAAATTTAACCAAATAATCAAATTCATTGAATAAGTGTCATAAAACAATTTCTAAAAATTCCAAACCAAAAGAAATGACAAATCAAATGAGATTTCTGCAATTTTAAAAAAGATCCTCAAAACAGAAAATTGAAAATGAATTCAAAACTAAAAACTTAAAAGAACACCAAATGGGGCCCAGGTGTCTGAGACCAATTTATTACCAAAAAGTTATAAGACAAAATTCTTCTTCTTCTTCTTCTGGGGTTTTTTTTTTTTTTTTTTCCCTCTAATGAAGAAGTTCATCAAAATTGCATCAGACATTAAAACTGGTCTTAACAAAGTTGAAGGGAAAATATAAACCCTGAATTAGAAAAAGGCAGACTACCATTAGCCATAGGCATCATTTCTATCATTCTTAAACCGCGATTCTCCCGGCCATTGACAATTTTCTGCTAAACCCAAAAAGAAAAACTAAAACTTTTAAAGCAGAAATAATACATTATTCGATTGTTTGGCATTGTAAATCAAATATTACTACACAATCAAAATTCTATTTAGCATAACATTCGGTGTGTCCAATGTTATGTACTAAATATGTCAAATGTGAAGTGAGAAATACAAAAGGATCATGGTCTACGGAAGTGGACCTGGGTCGGAGTTCGAATCGGAATCGGAATCGGCATCGGAGTCTGTGTCAGCGGAGAAATCGGAATTGTTGGTGGTGAGGTTGAGCCACTTGCGCATAACCACTCGAGCCCAGAAAAGCTGCAGGCATGTGCAACCGAAACACAATTTTTCAGCCCAACTTCTCTGCAATCTCTCTAAAGTTATCCAAAGGAAACAAGAAAACGGGGGAAAAAATAATAATAAAATAAAATACATACATACAGAAAGTAATCATTCTAAAAATGGGAAATCTGAAAAAAGATATAACAATACCTCAGATTGTTGGCGACGAGGTCTTGAATTCTGCTTCCTCATGTTTAAACAAAAAGTCTAAACGGAAAATTGTGAAAAATATCAGATAAAATGGGGAAAAAATTATCATAATGATCGAACCCGGAGCTCGAGTGGTTTGTTGATTATACCCTTATAGTATTATTATTAACGCGAGCGAGTAGTGTGCTTGGGGAAGGAGTTTAAACTCTGACATTAATTTACAGTAATAAAATTCTAATTGAATTTACTATTTCAAGAGGATTTCAAAAAATAAAAATAAAAATGCTTAATCGAAAAAATTATGGTTTTAATATGATTCTATTAATCCTGGATGTTGGGGGATAGAATAAGGGAGGTTGATAACAGTTCATCCTATTACATGTGAAAATAAATCTGGACATCTGCCATGAATAGGTGGATCTGAATTCTCCATTTTTGTGGCTGATTTTTTATTTAATTTTTCTTTTATCTAAAACCAGACAAAATTCTCCACACACACACACAAATTTCCAAACTGTTCTCATTCCTATTAATGTACATAGAATTTTTCTAATTGTACAATTGAGATTGACAACTCCGATTGACAACTTTCTTACAAAAAAGGGTTCACGATTTTTTTATTCATCAGCCCTTCTCTCATGTGCGTAGTTGTCAATCGAAATTGTCAATGTCAATTGTACATGTAACATGATTGATATACATAACACCTATACAGTGGTGGTTATAGTCAGATTCACTTGTCTTGATCAAAAGAGTAACAAGTCGCAATAAAAAAGTGAAGAAATTAAAATTTCATTGATCATAATGTTGACCCAAAAAATGAAAGAAGGAAAATGTAATATATCTTGAATTATAATCTTGATTATTTTTCGTTTTTCTGGATTTTCGAATAAGTTAAAAATAATCCTTTTAACTTAAAAGGAGAATGGGTGCTAAATCATAATAATGAGGATTGCGTAATTATTTACCTTGCAATTTGCGTTATTCATAGTTCTTCTTATAATCATTGCTTGTGTACATTATAGGAATTGGCATCATTTGAAGAACATGCTTGGCTTTTTCTTAAAAGAAAGTAAAACTACTTTTTTACAAACTTTCGAGTATATTCTAAAAAAGCTCAAACATTTTTTTGACTAAAAAAGTTAAAACAGATTAACAGAAAATAAGCAAAAAATCTTTCAAACAGATTATCAGAAGCAAAATCTTTTAATCAAGAAAATCATAAACTCCATATGTATAAGGAGGAATAAGAACTCATAGCAGAAATGAATTCCAGCTGAAAAATATGTACTGAACCAATATACAAAAATACTATATTATCGCATGGCCGACTCTACAAAAGTGTCACTTTTAACAATTTTTAAGCGACTTTTAAGCAAGATCAACGTACCTTAAAATATTTTAAGAAATTGGATTGCTAGCCTGCACTTGCAATGTGAATTGCTTTTTCTGCTACTTCTCAGGACCAGAAATTAAGGACGGCCGAGTGCCGATGCTCGTATAAATTGCTGTGTACTCATGAAAGGGTCTCCATGATTTGATATTTATAATTCAGCTCAACCATTTTTATTATGCCACGTGGTATATAGTTTTTTGCACATTTTTTAATAAAGGTTTTTCAGTGTTGATGATTTGACTTTGTGGGTCAAAAGGGAAATGATTAGTATTCTAGTTCGCCAATTATATTTTTCCAAAATACAATAACATTATTTAACACGAGTCAGTCTTTTCTTACATCCTGTTTATGATTTAACTTTAATTTAAACGACAATATATATAGCAATGTCTGATAAATTGAACTATTAAAAATTAGATTTATCTTGTCGCGGAGATTGGTGTTATGGTCCCGTTTGATAAATATTAATGTAAAAATGGACTCCACACAAGAGATAGAAAGTCAAATATAACGGCTTAATGTGATGGATAACGATCGTATTTTTTATTTTAATGGACAAATAATGAAAAACAAACGGAGGCTATATATAAGTGTTAGATGCCATTGCTCCTAATGCTATCTAGCAATTTAATGTCCGTTTAACATGATTTTTGCTTTTAATTTCACTTTCACATCTTGTAAAAGAGTTTTTTAGGAAGCTGTCTTAGTTTTGTTTGAAAAATAACTTTTAAAAGAGCTTCTTATTTCGAAAATACTTTTAAAGAAAGTCACGTCAAATCATTTTTGTAACATCTCAAAATTTTTGATAAAAATTTATTTAATATCTATATTATATTATTTCAAAAGTTGAGGGACTAAGAGGTAATATATTTTAAATTCTTATACTTTGAGTCAAAATTAAATTTCGATAGAGTAAAAAATAAGTATATTAATATTATACTCGTTGGATAGCCAGTATTTAATTATGAATTTTAGGCTCGAGAAATAGTCGATTTGGATAACCCAGCACCAAGAAATTTCGATTTGAAGAAATTGGTTTTCAAATTCAATTAAAACTTGGAAGGAAGATGTGATGTTGACACGTGTACATGGAATTGTCTTGATTTTGTATGGTGTGTACGTATAGAAATGGTTATAAATAAAAAGAAGTAGGTTTATTTTAATAATTATTTGCTTTGATTTTGGAGAAAAAGAAGGGTAGGTTTCCTTGATTTTAGGGATTGATTATTTTAGTATTATTTAATTACTTGACTTTATGAGTTGATAGACTCCACGTGATGTTTAGATAAGGGAAAAATAACTGTAGATTATACTGGATTGAGGCATTTTACGGGAAAAGCCGTCATGGAATAATGAAACAAGATTAAATAGAATTAAGAATTAATATAATTCCCTTTAATTAAATATTCTAGGCAGTGCTGACTAATTAGTAGGCTAGAATCCCACATTTTACCACACCAAAAATTCACACGTGAAATAGAGAAAGAGAAAGATAAAAGAGAGAGAAAGGAGAGAAAAACGAAGATAGAAAGCAGCATTAGAAATAGAATTTCATACATCGAGTATTTTAATCACATACTTTCAAAGCGGAGGAACGATTTTCAACATACTGTAGATTCAACGAAGTAAGATACATTTATGTGCAAAGTGTTTACGTTTCCTTATACTCTTATATGCGATTAAATATACATGGAATGCTAGTGGACCTTCGGGTTCTAGAGAAAGAGATGAAATTTCTACATGAAAATTAAGAGGACCTAAGATGGGTGTGTCGCTTGGTCACCGATATACTCCATAAGAGAAGAGCGGTATGAAGTGTATTATTTATTTGTTATATACCTGTGTATGGAAATTTGCACGTATCTTACTGGGTATTTTTAATACTCACTCTTACATTAATTTTTCAGATTAGTTCGGGTCGATTGGAACAGTGGAGAATTGTTGATGCGGACTGCCAAGTGGATAAAGAATAGAGAAAAAGAAATAAGTTTGCCATTTTAAATTTAGCAATTTGTTTATTTTAATTTAGAACGCATTATTTGAATTACTTAGGAGTTTATGTTTATGGTTAGATACGCTTTCAATAATTTTAATTTAAACGTTACAATTATTTATTTATTGAAGAATTTTATATAATTCCGCATTTTTTTTTTAATTAAAGAAAAATGAGTTTTCGTAACGTTCCCGTGTTCATGCTTAATAAAAAAATTGGGACGTTACAATTTTTCTCTAAAAACTCTTCTAATTAGAAGAAATTCTATTATAAAATTAGTCAAACAGATTTAAAGTAGCTTTTGAATCTTGAAAGATCCTTTTGTCCTTCAAAAGCGATGTCAAACGGATTCTTAGTAGTGCTTAGTACCAATTAATGTGACGGTTAAATTACTGTCCAATGAAATTATAATGCATTTTTATTCTTTAAACAATGTGGGATGATTCAACTGCCCACTAGTACCGTGTAACATTATTCTATCGAGGCATATACTCAATTACTTTAAAATTTAATTTTGAATGTTATATCGTCGTTACTCCCAAGTTTTATAAAAGTACATCTTAATCCCCCACCATATATTTGCTGGCACGTAACTTCATACAAGTAAAATGTTCTAGAAACATTAAAGCAATAATCACTTATTTTGTATGGGGACTGTCGGCCGATCGATCACAACCAGAAATCTGGAAATTTTATATTTTGGGTCTGTTTGGGCCCATTTTTTCACTCAAAAAATTGATTTTTTGACCGTTATTTCACTATTTCAGCCGTCATATTTGACTTCTTCTCTCACAAGTGGACCCCATTTTTCTCCTAACGGTCAAAAAATCAATTCGCAAAATCACTTCCAAACAGACCCTTTATCTTCAACAAAATTATATTTTTAGTCTAAGTGATAATAAACAATTCAAATTAATTAATTAATGAAATAATTATAATTAAATATTGATGGTAGTAAATGACGTTACTTGAAAGCTGTATTTTGTCCCTCTAATGGAATATATTAATCTCATAATCCAACTGAAGCCCACGCAGTAAACACGTACCACTTATGTGGATTTTTAAGTGCATTAAGAGAAATTTAATAAGATATCTTTTAATTAAAATTTTACACTATTATTGCACAGTGTCATGTTCCTGGGTTATGAAGCTGACAAATAAAACAATATTAAACTTTTTGATGTTACTTTGTAGATTATCTGTTAAGTCTTACGTTTGTCTTCGGAAAAACATTTTTTAAATTTTGATTATCATTACATGTTTCTTTTCAATGAATATGTTTGGACGTGTTTAAATTTGATATACACTTTTTTTGTAACAATATTCAAGTCAAGATTTAAAAAAAAAAATGAAAATTAGCTAGTAAAATATTAACTTTCAAAAAATATGTGGGACAGATATGCTTATAGTGTGTATTTATCAATATTTTATAATAATTAGACTGTCGGGTCAAAAAATCGAAATATAATATTAACAAGATGAACCTTTCTTTTTGAATAATGCACTTCATAATCAGTGGTGCAATAGTCATCCTATGTAGTAGCTTATTATTTGATGCATTAATTTTCTATAATTATGTTGGCTTAAATAATAAACTATCACATAAGGATGATACTGCATTCGCTGACTACTACTACAGTCGTTGACTATGAATAATATTACTCAGTAAAAAGATTGAATAATGAATCTTATGTAACTCGCAAGTTTTGATTGACGGACATTAACTTTTGTATGAATAAGAAACAACTTTGTAAATGAATCTCATATAACTCATAAGAGGCTTGCTTTGTGAATAGACATGTACATTGGTTATATTGACTATAACATCAAATCTTTCAGAGAAATATATAGAACCTTGCAAGGAGTTTTCTCTCTCAAATAAGTCTTGAGACACAAGGATAGAATTTTAGTTCTTACAAAATAGGATTTAACGGATAGTTCCACTGATACAAGTAAAGTCATTGCACACTGTCAAAAATCAACTAAAGCTAATTGAAAAATCTTGCATCGAAAATAGAGGAATGCTATGCAACACAACTGGTGTCAAGCACTAATTTAGGTGTCAAATGTATCACATTAAATTATATATTCACTTAAATGCAATGTCCATTATTCATTTAATTAAATCTATCGAGTGTAATCATCTAGACTGGTGGTGCTAGATAACGTCATTCTTGAAAAAAATCGCAGTTGAATAATACACACCCAAGCAATTAGCAGAACTACTTCAAAATTATCCATATTCTGATCAATGTGCACAGTGAATACTGGTTCAAAATAAGAATTTAAGCTAGCATTTTGAACAGAAGATTCAAAACATATGCAAACATACCAAATTGTATCATTTGAAACTTTTACCTTAGACAACCACAAATGGTACTATTGTGATAGTAAGTTTTCAATCCCGACAGATGTGCAAATACGCA